TGTAGGTACCCCATTTATGACAGCAAAGCCATCCAAAAATATCTGTCTACTTGCTTTTCGCCTCCATTCAGAGTGTACCGAATATGGATGTCCTCTGTGTGTGCTATATACATCAACCATTGAATGGCCGGTGCTGAATCTCTTTTCTGGGTACTTTGGTAAGAGTCCAAAGGCGCTAAAGCGATGGTATTACTCTCCAAATACATAAACCGGTACTGCGCCATGCAAACAGAGGCCTGTGTAACATGTTGGAAGGGATCAATGCACCGAATCACAACCTCCTCCGCTATATCACCCCCTCTGGGTCTGAGACACTCGCGTTCTGTCGTTTTCATGACCTGGTCCCTAAACCGTTTACAGGCCTCCCTTAGTATCTCTACATCTTTTCGGCAGTAATAAGCCAGGGCCTTCTTTAGTTTAAACACCTTGCCTGTATTAGCAGCATGCCATTTCAAAAACTCTTCTCTCCCACCAGGCATCATGGTTTCAGGGCCGTAATACTTAGCCTCAGGGGTCCGCCCCATGTAGTCTTGATTATCCATTGTATTGAACAAATGGGGAAAGTACCCCTTGCTGCCCTGAAACCCCATGGCTTTCGGAAGCTTTCTTAATTTAAAGGGCAAAAAGCAGAGACTGTCGATAAATCGAATCTTATAGCAGGGGATGTAAATACACAGCAGTTTACCACCCTGACTTAAAAGCTCAACATGTATCTTTTCATGGATCAGTTGTCTCAGGACTAGGTAGCCGTCATATCCTTTGGAATTGTGTGCAATAAATGTGTAGCCTTTAAACTTGTCGTTTACACATTCCTTCACAAACATCTCCAGACACTTTATACCGTAACGACTCCATCTCATGACATTTTCATCCTCCTCCTCCAACATATCCATGGCATACACATAATTTGGTATACGTTCCCCCGTCTCTTGACAGCATTCAAAATCATAAACGATGTACTGTGTACCTATTTGAGGTTCCGACAACAGTTTCAGAAAACATAAATGACCTTCCAGACTTTCAACCCGTTAAGAGCATTGGCCACACTTTTTTTTCTTGCATTTTTTGTGTGGGGTAAAAACATAGAAACCACATCCATCACAATACACCTTGTTCTCACATGTAACTTTTCCCTTCGTTGCCAATTCTGCGTGTCTTTCAAGACAGCCCTGAGAGCAGCAAGACATTTTGCACTTACAACATCTTGTCATTTCCGCAGCCACCTCCTGGCAGTCATTCTTCAGGCATGCTTGGCGAAGGTATTGGCATCCGTGTCTAAATTTGTGACGGTAGGCCATGTGACAGAGTTCACAGAAATAGCGGGCCCCCAGAAACCCCTTGATGTTTTTGATGCCGTAGTAATGTTTGTCATATAACAATATAAACACCAGTTTTTCTTGTTGCGGTCTAACAGAGACAAAAAAGCGCCACCCACCCTGATTATAAAACAGAAACTTTACGGTTATGCCCAGATGTTCTTCAAAGAGGTATGTCTGTGAAAAGTCTACCCTCTTTTCTGTGGAAATACCCAGTCTGATGTGAAGAGCCCTGGCTCTAGTTATGATTTCTTGCTTTGTAAGGCCCTCACTATCTAGCAACCACAGCAGGCAACTGGCAAAACACAGAAACTCATCTTCCACATTGAAATCGACTAGGTGGCGCCTTTTTTTCTCCAGCACTCTGGAGAAAAGTACCACATTTAACCTTCTAAGGCCTCCCCCCGCTTGTTTTTCACAATGGTGACCACTAGTTGTAAATCGCCTCCCCACAGCACTTCAACATTGCTCTGCAGCATGCTTTCAACATGGCTAAGGAAATCATCTGCATTTAAACCTGATACATGTCTCCTCAGAGAAAAGAGAGTCCTGTTAAGCCCCTCTGCATCCAAACGGAGCTGAACAAAATCATTTGGCTCTATATCCCTAGAAGCTGATTCTTCACCATCCAAACCTACAGAGCTTCCAGGCAATGGGAAAGTGCTGCCTAGGGAAGAGATGTATAACTGAGTATCATCAGCATACTGGTAATGCTTGACCACAGTGATTTCTTGAATAATAAAATAATGAATTACCACCAAAATATACCATGTTCTTTTTGGTGTCTTTACTGAAAGAACAGCTATGAATATGTGGATAATATGTTCATGAGAAACAATTCTCATCCATCAGTATAGATTTTGAAATGGCAAAATGTTTACCAACATTTGCTGCACTTTAAGGTGCTCACTATACAGTTTAACATAATTATTTACTATAACCATCACAGTCCCAAGTCTGAGTTTTGTGAAACAATAGCAAAAGTGGATCACTTCTAATGCTTTTTAAATTGTTAATTGGATAAAGACTGCAAGGTACTAGTTCTCAAAATTTTGTTTTTCCTGTGGATCACTTGAAAATCACTAGGGTTTTTGTTCTACAAATTAAAGCACGTATATAATTCATATTTTAAGTCTTTTAAAAAATCAGTGCACTATCATAACAAATATGGTCTAATGAAAATTGCAGGCTTTAAGCCAAGGGACTGAAAAGAGCTCTTATTAACTGTAAAAAGCTGAATGATTACATTCTGTACCCCAGGACATCCTGATTTATTCTGATCATAGAATACATGGTCTCAAACTTCACTGTTTTTTTTTTCCCTTAATCAAAGTTGGGCCAATTTTTAAAAAACATTTATGTTTTTTGTGGTGATGATTTGAGAACTGCCCTTGATTAATTTAACATGCTGGCTTCTAATTTTAATAAGGGGAAAAGTAGGAAGTATAAAACAAGATAGTGACTTCTGTTAAGGAATCTACTATATTCCCCACCCTTTCCCTTTCTATCATTTGTTTTTATTAAGATATTCCATCTATACTGTTACATGCTAAGTACTTTCAGTTCTCACAAAATTATCCCAAAATGAGATTATTATGGATGTCCTTTCTTCTATCTTTTGAAAAAACACAGGTTCAGATATGAACAATTATTGTGGCAAAATTAAGAGTTGTTACTTCAAAATAGTATGACATCTGCCCAAATTTTCTAATGGGACAATTAACTTTCCACAGAACAAGAATGTTTGAAAATCTGTGGTTATTTTGGGAAATGCATCAAGAGTGCTTTTGTAAAATGGCCCCAACAACTTTAGAAAAACAGATAGTTAAATCCCACTGATTCTTTATTGCACTGGCTAAGAAAAGAGATACTTCTTATACAGAATAAATATGTGCTTTCATGGATGGGACTTGAATCAATATACTTGCTACTTGAACAACAAAAATAATGTGTTTAGCAAATGAACACATACAGTATTTTATCTTTCAGTAAATATAAATAATTTGCACATTCTGAAGAAGAGAAAGCATCTTCAGGAATCTGATCTAACAATACAGAGTTATTTGTCATGCCATTTGGCAGGGAGATTAAGGACTATCCCACAGATGACAATGTGAGATAA